CATACTTATTTGTGTTAGGAGGTAACGTGTGAGTGCAGGTGTCATAAAGTGGTTAGAAAGTTAGGGAAGGAGTGAGTTAAAGAAATTATAAAAAAGGATACAATAAAATTAAACTGAAAAAAATCAAAAGTACACCTTGAGGTGGTCATCATGATGATAGCAATTAAGTGTTATAAATCATTGTTTGAAACCAACACACACATTTCTACACACATAACTTTAACTCCACAGACAGAAGCAGGAACTAGGAATGTACTCTAATAGTGAGAAATGTGTTTATTACAATTCATATTATAAAATATAATAGTTGTATACTATACTATAAATGAAGAATATATATGAGCCAATAAAGTGACGTCAGATAGTAGCAGAGCAACAGTCTGATGATTGTGATACAAAATGACATACAGTAGTTATATTAAATCAAATATATAACTGCAGTTCATCAGTGATTCAATGACGAAACAAAAAGATGACATAATAATGAAACAAAATTAATTAGAAATATTCCTTTATTTACACTTTTTTCATTTGAACTTTGTCCATGTATATTGCTATATGATATTGATGTTTATTTGGATTTGGCCCTGTGTGTATGCTGCCTCACATCCTGCTGCAGATGTACGTCACATTTAGCAGTGACTTGGCCGTCTGCTACACTGGCTGTGTGTAGGTGTGTTCATAATCCAACACAGTCGTTGGTGCATTACCCTCCTACCCTATAGCCTCTTTCACAACATGTCCCAGGACACCTATGATTTTAATGACTCTTACTGTCTTCCATTGTGCATGTTTTATTTATCCTTACAGTATCAGAGGCCTTTAATGTATTTATGATATTCATTGGAACGGGCTTGGAGCAGATCAATCCAGGCCTGTTGTTATCTTGATATGGATGTGTTAATGTGTGACGGCCGGGCTGGGAAACATGTTTTTATTTATATGTTTCACCGTTTGTATTTTGTATGTTGTGATGATGACGCCTGTTCTTTCTAAATACGTGTCCTCTCTCTCCCCTCCCCCCACTCTCTCTCTCTCCCCTTCCCCCTTTTCTCTCCTGTCTCATCCTCCCTCTCTGGCCGTCCCCAGCGGTTTGAGCACTCTGCTAAACTGCGGAGGAAGATCACTACATATGTTTCCTTCCCTCTAGAGTTGGACATGACGCCCTTCATGGCATCCAGGTTAGTGTGCAGCAAGCAGCTCCCTTTTCTCCATATGTACAGAGGATCTTGTCCTGCCAGTTTTCATATAATAAACTTCAGTTTGATAAAAGAAAAAAAACAACTTTTGGAAGCTTATTTAACAGATATTGGTACATATTAATGTTTACACATCTACATACTATGTATAAATCTATAAATTTGTGTTCTAATGGAAGTCTATCACATTTGTATCTTTGCCAAAACAGCATTACTGAATGTGCCCTATAAATATTTACTAGTGTCAGAGGAGCATGCTGCTGCAGGCCCCACCCCTGACTGTAGCATCCATTCAGCTCGACATGATCATTAGAGGAACAGGCAGAGACTATATCAGATTTCATAGATAGGATAACTCTGCCACCTAGTGGCTATATGGATCATAGTAGCGTTTGTTTAGCATGCAGCATGATCAAAGCTAACTGCACTGTTATTCCTCTTTGTCCCACAGTAAAGAGAGCAGAATGAACGGGCAGTATCAACAGACGGTTGATGTATTAAACAACGACAATAAGTGAGTACCTCTGGAATACTCCCAATGATTTATTAACCTCATAGCAGTTCTGAAATGATAGTAGAAATGTCTACTCCAGCACAGCAGCACACTCTAATGACCTGAAGCACCGGGCTGTGACTCCTCCAAATGAAATCAATTTGAAGCCTATTAAAAGCTGCTTAGTTTTCTTCAGCCATGGCAGTTACAATAGCTTTCATTTTCCAAGACATTTGCAGGAAATTTACTGTCTTAATACCATTGACAGGCTGCCTGTAGTGGAGCCAATACTCAGTATGAAAGGTGCTTGTTAAATGAATGCAGACACGTATGAGTGGAATATTGTTCCATGAAGTGCAAAGAAAAACACACACCTTTTTCTTTTCTATTCAAGGTATTCCTTGTTTGCGGTGGTCAACCACCAAGGCACGTTAGAGAGTGGCCACTACACCAGCTTCATCCGCCAGCACAAAGACCAGTGGTTCAAATGTGATGATGCCATTATCACCAAGGCCAGCATTAAGGACGTACTTGATAGTGAAGGGTAAGAACAGAAACAGGATGTTAGCAGGACTCGAATGTACAATACAGGACGATATCTCATGTTTCTCTCTCTCTCTCTCTTCCCCCCCCCCAGGTATCTCTTATTCTACCATAAACAGTTCCTTGAGTATGAGTAGTCCTTGCGACCACTGACCGCGAAGAACCACTGCTTCTAATGACAGAGTCCAGGGACTGGGGACAGGATGAGACACAAAAACACACAAACCTACCTGAAACTCTTTGACTACCAGTCTGCTCCTCCAGCTGTGGAGGACAAAAACTGAAATAAAAAAAAAGACGTGTGAAATCATGCAACCTTACAAAAGAAAAAAATCAAGCACTGAGCTACTTCTTGGCATCTACTTGACAAATGGAGAGGAGGAGGAGAAGGAGGATGAGGAGGAGGAGGACGAGGAGGAGGAGGAGGAGGTAGTCGTTGGTTCCAGGCTCGGGAAAAGGTGAAGAGCCCCCCCCCCTCCACACACACACACACCCACCCTTCACTTTCTCTCTTTCTCCCTTCCCATCCCGCTGCAGGAGTCTGAGCCTGTCCGGCTGTCATGTTGATCGGGCACATCTGGATTTTTTTCTTACAGTATTCTGACCGCCCCCCCCCCCCCCCCTCTTATTTCTCCATTTCTCTCCCATGGTGCTCTCGTTTCAACTGACCAAGCATTTAACTTAGACATCATGGAGGACAGTTTGTTGTCATATGCATACGGGACTGAATGCAAAAAAAAAAGAATAAAAGAATAAAAAGAATAAAATCAACGTATTATATGAACTTTGCAAGAACATTTTTAAAGGTATGATTATGATTCTTATCATTTGTGACTTTAGTTATAAGATACTGTATGAATCTAGTATACATCTATTTTTTAAGAGCAAAGAAAACCTGGGAGAGCTTAGAGGCGCTGCCTTTGCCAGTTGCTGGGGAAGTGCTGCCATGGAAACTAAGCAGATTTGGACCTGAGTGTGCTCATGTTCCATTATTTACTGTGTTGATTGTTTTTATTTTTAAGTCTGGTTGAGGGCAGGGAATATCTATTTTTTTTAGCAACTCATTGAATTTTGTATACTGTTCTTTTCAGCGTCTTTCTTTTTCTTTTTTCAGTACAGTCATATGTCCCTCGCTGTCCTGGTACTGGAAATGTTTTTGGACGTATTATACTTTCATTCTTGTGGAATTGTTGGTATAATGATGGTGGTGATTAAATTGGCTCACCTTTTGCTGTTTATGAATTGTATGTTGAATGTGAGCTTTGGGTTTTCGTACGACATTCTGAAGACAAGACTCCGACACATGAACTCCATATGAGGTCCTTATTGTATGTGAGAATGCTGTGGTCTCTCCTCATTGAACACCTTGGATGCTCTGTGCAAAAAAAAAAAGAGAAAAAAAAAAAGCCTACTTAACATCACTGCATGCGACTGGGCTCTCATGATCTTATAAAAATGTGAAAAATTTACCCTCAGTAATGCCTCAAGGCCTGTTGCTCATCAGGATTTCTGTTCTTGTATGGGGAAAAAAAAGAATCATGTGAAATATATAAAGAGGCTAAGAGACATTGCACGTGTATGGGCACTGTGCGACCACAGCCCGGCTCTGAATCCATCAGTGTTAATCTTCTCCATGGCAACCGTGTGGCTGGTGCAGACTGGTGTGGTTCGTGGTGTGTCTCGCCTCTGCAGTGCAGTAAACCCAGTGCTCTATTCAATCAGTATGCTGTCAAGTCAGACTTCAGATAATGCACATACACGTCAGGGTGTTGTGGTCTGTTTTGTTTGAATATCACTGATTGTGTATGTATAAGAAAAAGACAGAATAAAAAAAAAATATGGAGTCATGTATACGATGAGGGCTCTAACCTTTCACAAAGTAATGCCACATTTAAAAAAAAAAAAGGAAAAAAAAGAAAAACCCACAACCCCCTGGTTGTTAAGCTGCTCTGTAATTGAAAACAAACATGCATATCCTTTGGTCTGCTGCATAACCTCAGCTGGACGGCAACGGCGGGTGTCTTGACCAGTAAAATCAAAGACTTTTGAATTGTTCGCACTTTGGTTTTGATGTATCATGGAGCAGTTAAGGCCACCCAAGGACATTCAGGGACGCAGCTGAAACGTAAAGGAAGAAGGAGAGCTTCATTATCAGTTTCAGTGATTAAACTCAGAACAAAACTGGAAGGCGTATGTGTTGTCTTTTGTGTAATTCTTCCCTTCACACTTCTCTTCATTTTGAGGATATTTCCTAGCATTAAATATGTGGCCATCTTTAACAGCCCTCTGCTACTTTCAGTGTACACTAGTGGAATGAGACTGTAAGGGAAAGCAGAAAGGCCTTTTGGTTTATAGTGTTTTCTGAAGTTGAAAATAGTAAATGGATAATTTAACACAATGACAAACATTGTATAAAACCTTAGGTTGCAGTATTTCAGTCATTGGTTATAAATTTGATTTTGGCGCCACCTTGTGGTCAAACCTAGTAGCTCAGTTGAGCTCCGATAAAAAAAAAATGACATCAGACTTGAATCGAGAAATGTGGGCAATGCTAAAAAAATATTCTAATACTAGCGAGTGGTTCAAATAAACAAAATCGAAGAGTATTTATTCGCAAATGTTAAAATGATTTGATGTGAAGCACAAACTTTCAATCATTGAATAAACCTTTTTTAGCTTTCATATTAATAAATGGTATCTTAGTGTAAGGATTTTTCTAAAGAGGGGTAAACCCCAATATTGCACCAGCAGAAAACAAGACTGCATGTCACTTGATACTTTATTTAGTTTGAACACAACTGTACACAACCTTTGTTTGCTCTATCAAATGTGTTTCTTACATATAACTGAACAGAGCAGAAACTGGAACAACACAATGCCAACTTTCTACAGAAGAAACACAACTTTGAACAGCTGGGTTCATGTATTCAAAGCTGATGAGACATTAGCTTTTGGGAATATCTCAATAAAACCACAATAAACATAAATGCACATAGGACCAGTAGAAAACCTGCAGTATGAATGTAAATGTTTCAAAGGAGAACAGCTCGAATGAATGTTTAAGCATTGTTGAAAGAAGTACTTTTTCTAACTCTACAACAACAGTAGGAGGATCATATACAAACCAAGCTTCTAGTCTGAGTTATGATACATTAAGCAATTTGTTTTATTCTACATTTATTTCACATTTTTAACACAGACTTTACAGGCAAACCAGGTTTTATGTAACCGAAAAGCTCGGTGCAAGGTAATATTAAAGCACCCTTTATGCGTTCAGTCATCTGAGCAATGTCTGCATTCATTATTCATGTCCAGAGTCATCCCTCTGTTATTATTATTATGCTAATGAATGTAACCATGGGACCAAAAGCCTCAGTCACTGTTGCTATGGAAATATAAGATACAAAAAAAGGTGCATTGTGTCTTTCAGCGGTAATAAGACCATGTTACAAATTCTGCAATACTGCAGGGATAGAGATTGGAGACCGAATTTGATTAGTCATGGCTGGGGGTTTACAATAACGTGTGTTTGTTTGCAGTTCTGTGTATCAAGACTGACACACAAGAAGAAGTTGAACACACAGACGGTGTGTGAGTAGTTTGCATGTGTTGAGTTTTGTATAAACATACTTAAATATCAATATTGCGTCAGTCTGGGACTTTTAAATCGATAGAACACGCTCAGGATTCATTGCACATAAATCATAATCTGTCACAGGCTTTGGTGCATGAGAGGGAGCCTGCATGCGTAAAGGTTTAATAAAGATAGTAATCTGACCACAGCAACAGACTGAGGGGGGGGGGGGGGGGGGGGGGGTGACAGGTTGTGCTCCTGGAGCAGCACGATGGTGTTTGTGATGATGACGATAAAGGAACACCGAAGCCTCTTGAGGACAAGTGTTCTAGCCCTTCACAAATTCACATCACTAAGACACCCACAGACAGTTGAAATGTGGCCTCCTACACACCTCGGATCATAAGAGGAGGATGGGTCAGCATCAGCATACAAAGTGAGCTCGCGATGCGGGGCAGCAAGCTAAGCCCCTTATAAAAGAAACAGGTGAACAGAAGTAACTAAAAAGACTGGCAATGTGTTGTTTCTGCCATAAAGAAAGTAAAACTACGATAAACTGACAAGATGCAAGAATTGAAGTTGTTTAAATCCATATTTAATTACTACTTTTTGGATAATGTCCCATCTGCTGCTTATAATTCTATCCAAATAGGTCAGTCAGCAGGTTGCCTGGGACCAGGAAGATAGGAAGTGGGGAAATTGTACTAAAATAATCATTCACCAAATGTTAGCTGAGCTGCTTTTAATGCCCTCAGGTGCCATAAAAACATGAAGCCGTGCCACCACTCACCATTCATATTGAATAATTTAGAACCATGCGATGTGGCTTTTTTTTTTTTTTTTTTTAAAGCAGTAACAACTGCAAACCAAAACAGCAACATTATTACACTATATACATACATAATGGTATCCAAGCCATAATAAAACACTGTTCCATACGGGGACATTACTTTACAACATAATATATATGTTCCTCTACATCATAGCAGCACTTTGGTTAAAAGCTGGCCCCGCTTATTGACTGAGCCAGTGCTATTAATGTTCTGTAAATTATGCATGTAGATATATTGAACTCAGGGCGCAGGTTTTAACACTGTTATTTACATCCCATACATATGCATTACATGTAAAACTGGTCAGACATTAAATCAGACTGTTGGACTTACAGAACACAATAATTAATGGCATTGGTTTGCAATGATTGTGTAAAAAAAGAAAACACACAATAAAAATGTCACAAGTTGATGTGTTTTCAAAATAAATGTTGTAAAGCAGTCTCTCGGTTAGTTAGAGTCAAAACATCTCCAGAGGAAAAACCCTTGATATGACACAAAATAAAAAATCAGAGGAATGATAATGATGCCGGTTTTGAGAAGTAATGTGTTTTTCTTCAGCATCGGATCATGTTGGTAGTTGTTATTTTTCCACGACCAAAGTCTGGAGAAACTTGGCACAAGCCTTCGCCGTAAACTATGAATATAATCCTGGCTCTGCAGGGGAAAATCATGTCACCAAGGGGACCATTTGCGAGTAGGCGTTAGTGTCAGCTCTACCTCACCTCGGAGTCAATACACACAGAACAAACAGATTTATTTTTCATTTACGGCATCGAGCACACAGTTTGAACTACTGGTTGTGTTTTTTTTTATGGTTTTGTTTACAGCCATGGATCCAAATGTACATCAAAAGTAGATAGAGGAACTGTCCTGTCTAACATTTCCTTCCATTTATAGTCAGGCTTGGTCTTTTTTTTTTTACATTCAATAAGTGACATGTTCCTTTGTGACATCGGTGTCCAGTGTTTAATCCGATCTTCTCCTTCTGTAATGTCACCGAGGAGATGTTAACAGCGGACTGTTATTAGTGTCACAGAGATCTTCATGTAAGTGATACTTTGCATCTTCCACTCAGATACTGGTCTGCAGGTCTCCATTTAGCAGAGTACTCTGAGTTTCTGTGGGGTCATTTATCATGCGAGACTTGTCCTGTCGGCTATCACTGCGCTCCACCTCATCCAACCCTCCCACCTTCTTAAGGCAGAGCACATTCTGGAAACTCTTCTTGAAGTTCTCCGACAGGAAGGCGTAGAGGATGGGGTTGGCGCAGCTGTTGGCGTACCCTAGAACCACCACAAACGCAAAGGTGCTCCTCAGGATGGGCGTGGTGCTGATGGTTCCGGTCACCGAGGTCACATTGAAGACGTAGAACGGCAGCCAGCAGAAGACGAACACTGCCACCACGATGGACACCATGCGGGTCACCTTCCTCTCTGAGCGCTTCCTCTTGGAGGAGCCCACGCGGATGCCAGAGGACTTCACCTTGATGATGATGAAGAGGTAGCAGAGGCAGATGACCATGAGGGGTAGGAAGAAGCCCAGGACGAAGGTGTAGAACATGAAGGCGGTGTAGTAGGCCTCCTGAGGCTCGGGCCATACGATGGTGCAGAAGCAGCCGTCGTGCTTTGTGTGAACACCGCTGTAGATCACGATGGGAAGGTTGACCATTAGCGACACGCCCCACACTGTTAAGTTAATCGTCTTTGCCATGCGAGGCTTGCGCCATTTGGTGGACTTAATGGGATGCACCACAGCCAGATAGCGGTCTATGCTCATCACCATCAGGCAGAAGATGGATGTGAACTGGTTGAGGGAGTCCACAGTCATCACCACCCTGCAGAGCACGGGGCCAAACGGCCAGTTGACCAGTGCCAACTGGATGGCGATGAACGGCAGGCCCAGCATGAAAAGCACGTCAGCCACGGCCAGGTTGAGGATGTAGATGTTGGTGACCGTCTTCATCTTGGCGTAGCGCAGGATGACGTAGATGACGAGGGCGTTTCCGCAGAGCCCCACGGCGCAGACCAGGAAGTACAGGCAGGTGATGACCACAGTGCTGGTCCGGTTGAAGGTGTGGTCCGTGTAGTTCCCGTGAACGTCAGACTCATTGCCCTGCATGAAGCTGTCGTACATGAGGTGCTCCGAGAGGTTCGGAGGGGATGATGGGAAGATCCAGGAGTCCATGATGCCTCACTGTCTCTCTCTGTCTCTTAAGGATTATGACATCTCACCTGTACATTAAAAGACACATCAATACTTGTAAAGCGTTTTTTAAAAGACACTCTTTTTTAATATTATTGATGATTTCTTCAACCCTGACACTTACAAAGAAGAAAATAACCATCCCACTTGATAAAGGTTTTGATATTGATCTTATGCTTTCCAGAAGAGGAAAATTTAGATCTATAGTCATCATTATCATCAGTTATTGAGTGTAGTCTCTCTTCCTTCCTCTATGAAGACCTTTTGCTGACGGATGTTAGTCAGTTGAAGCCATTGATCTGAATGTGACGAGTGGCTCCACTGTGGGGTGACTGATGAGAAACAATACAACAATCTCTGTGACGTCTTAAATCTGCAAACAGAAGCCAATCTTTACCGAATTCATATAGTGAGTAATGCTTACTTGAGTCTTAAAAAGAAAAAAAAATCCTTTTTCTAATCACTCCTGAGGCCATGTCTTACCTGAGGGGATTTTATAGATTTCTATCTGAATCCTCCGTCTTGAGACCAGGCTTGATTGATAGGCGTGTGTACAGAAGAGCACCACAGGCACTGCTCTCTGCTGGAGGCCAGATTTTTCCTTGTGTGTTTATTTGGTCAGGCACTGCTACCAAGGGAAATCACTCCGCACACCCTCCAGGCGTAAGCTCTCCCTCGAGGAATCGCTTGCCCTTCAAATAGCGTTAAATGATCTGCTGTTCTGCATTCTCCACTGACACGTTTGTTCAATTTATTAGGGGGGTGGGCATGGATGTAAATTAGTCCCAGCCTAAGTAATTGAATGAGGGGGAATCACTGTACTGCCAATAGCCATGCCATAGTCAGATTGAAGTGCTTGTCACTGCCAATACACCTGAGGCAAACATGGTCTGACAACTAAGTTTGGTGCCAATAATGTGAGAGGTTTAATGATGCAAGTGTGTCATTTTCACCATGGCAGCAGGACAGGGTGGACACTGCCTGGAGTCCTGTGTGGATTTTTATTTTCAGTGGTTGAACAGGCGACAAAATCAATAAAAACATAGCCTCTTTGTCCATAAATGAGTGTCATCTGATTTAGTCCATATGGTATGATTGTATAATGTAACAGTTGGCAACCTGTTGGGAGAAACAGCTCTACATAAATAAGGTAGCATATTAGAATAAATGATTTCTGCAGAAGCATCATAAAGCTCTCTTAAAGCATCCAGTGGTTCTGTTGCTGAGGTTAACAAAAGTCTTATATTACTTCTGGTTGTATTTTGTCACGTTAGGAAATATTCTTTTTCAAACTTTAAAATTCTGGTGTTTTTGGCTCCCTGTGCAACAGGTCATTTTCCTTTATGACACCAGCCCAGACCAGTGCAGTTTAAAAAAGTGAGACATTTTCATCTTCAATAAGAGCAACAGGAGGAATACAGTTTCAGTAAAATTGCTACTTTAAGTTTCTAGATTGTAGTTTTTTTCCCTATCTGCTCAAGACCATGAATTTCACAAGGATTTTGACTTTAAGCTTGTGAAAGGCTGACTGCCTTTCACAAGCTTAAAGTCAAAATCCTTTTTCTTGTGCTTTTCTAAACATGCTGATTGTAAATCATGTCAATGTATCTCATGAGGGTTCAAATGAGAATAAGGTCAAGTCAGTAAATTCATGAAAAGCAATCTTTACAGACTTTGGTTTTACAGAGTCGACATTATTTCTAGTTCAAGAAAAATATTTCACCAGCTAAAATGAAAATAAATACTAGTAATGGAGGAGACATCACAGTTCACATTGGAGTGAATACTGCTGAAAATGTCGCTCATGTTCATTTTGACAAATCTTGTTCAACTTCGTTTGAATGGAGAAATCACGAGACTTTACCATCTCTCTGCTATGAATCATCTATTTTACCTGCAGCTGGATTTAATCTCTCTATTTACAAAAACAACGAAAGCATACCTTGTGAAAGCATTTATCCATGACAGAATCACCTTCTTCATCTTCAGATATTACTCAAGTTTTTTTTTTCTCACCAGCATCGAAGTGGAAAACCTCTGCGCAATGTGAAATTTCCGGCTAGAAATCCCACAACGATGTCAGCATGACTGAAAAGAAGAAAAAAAAACGGACCTTAAAGGTGGGACGATTATTTCCAACTCAATCTCCACTCGCTTGGCTCTGCACGACTCTGCGCTGCGCCCCTGGTGTGATGCGCGCAGGGACTGACCTACCCAGCAGAGGAGAGCGGAGATGTTAAAGGGCACACAAGGACGGAATCGAGGAGGTGCTGAAGAGATTCACCTCTGAACGACAGAGAGGCTGTCCCTTGTCTCTCCATCCTCTTCATGCAGATATCCAATACATCATTCAGAAGGAGCTCGGCGTCGATTTAATCACGACAAAAGTCACTGACGCACGGAGTTAAAGCTGTAGGCTGCTGCACTCTTTGCATATTTTGCTGAAGTGGAAACAAAAAGTGCACACGCATGAAAAGAAATCAATAAAAACTAGAGGCTGTTAAAAATAATGGAAACACAGTAAAACACATTAGGCATCTCAGTAAGGGTTCAGTATTAGGCTACTACTTTTCATACAATTAAGTCCATGATGACAAAAGGTCTTGTTGAGGGTCTGTGATAAAAAAGAAAATTGTAGATATTATTGAAACAACAAGAAAAAACAAAAAAGGCTCATAAGATATAAGCCTACTATAAGAACTTTTTTTATTAATTATTTTAATTCTAAATAGGCTATAGGCCTATCGTAACAGCCAGTTAGGATTATACATATTTCAAAGTTAAGAATATCAAAGCATCGGTTCTAATATCCAGTAAGCCTATAGTCTTTATTATGATGTCCTCAGCACAGTTATTATTTCTTAAATGTTTAATAGAAAAAAAGGCTACATGTAAAAAAAGCCACGAAACGTAGGCGACGTCTTTTAAAAAACTAATTGAGTAATCACTGGCCTACGCAATGACGTCATAGAGACTCGGTAAGTAGTTTACAGGTGAAGTACATTCTAGTGTTTAATAGTTTATCAGCTAAATATCAGCTAATGGACTCTTTTGTTAGCTGAGCGAGGACAAGTGGACTGTCCTGACTTGGTGCATTCTTTCTGCCAATTCCAGCAATTAAAAAGCTAGGTGCCAAAGTGGTAGCAAGCCATTGTGTGAAAGGGTATGGAGGATAACAAGGAAGAGAAAGAGGACAATGAAGAGAAGACTATCTGAACGAGCTGCATTAAAACTGTAAGTTAGCATGGTGTGCTGGAAGAAGCCTAAACTATGAATGAATGAGTTTCGTTCCTCAGGCTACTACTTAGCTCCAACTGGCAGGTAGTCGCTAGCTTTCCACAATAATGTAAAATGCAACTGAACCGTGAAGTTGGCAACTTGAGCAGTGCTGCAGTCGTTTTGGCTAACAACTGAACTGTTCATGAAATACAACTGTGGATGTTCCTATTTGGGTCAAGTGTCTGTGCTTGTTGTTGTTGTTGTTGTTGTTGTTGTTTTTGTTCTAAACAACTTTGTCTGCCATATGTCTCTGTTGATATTTCCTTGGCGCCTCTGATTGTCATGTATATGTTTTTTCAACAGCTCACCTGCGTCCTTCAGTCCTAGTCTAATCTGCTTATCAGGTAAGATCACTATCAGTGTTTTCATACTGGCATGGCCTTTTAATGTTATAATATTGTTACAGTGTAATTGCAGTTGCATGTAATTGCCCACAAAAGTGTGTGTGTGTGTGTGTGTGTGTGTGTGTGTGTGTGTGTGTGTGTGTCTTGATTTGCAACTGTTACTCAGTTGCTGTATTCACACTTTTCAGAGTTTTAATGTTTTATGTGTTTTTTTTGTTTACTGTAGGCTATTCCTAAACCCTTGACTGCACTTGAAATTTAAATCTTTTGGCATCTGCAAAAGAACAAGCTGAAAGCTAGCTTTGGAAATGTGTTCTTTGCGCCTCAATCAGGGCACAAAGAAAATGCTGGAGGCATCAGTCAGTATGATGACACTTGTTTGGGGTGTTCAACTGTCTGCAAAGCTGCACTCTGATGGATGTGTTGAGTTGATGTGTCTGCCTTTTGAGGCCTGCTGCAATCTTTACTGTTGATTTCTAACAGAAGATTTAATGCAAAATACAATCAATTTAATGACAGAAACAGAAATATAACACAGTTTTTCATTTGCATTGCTTTTATTTTATGTAATTTTCTTGTCATAATCAAATGGAAATAAATGCTGCCTTGGGGGACACTACTATTGACGTCGTTACACACTCAGATAGATCCTCATGGCTAGTATTGATTTCTAAGCAAATTAGTGTTTGTTATCTAGCATGAGCTTATTAGCTTGGTCAATAAAGGTGCATGAGCTAGTCTTCAAGGGGATGACATTTGTTTTAATGTGAAAGGCTGCCCTCCATGTAGCAATATGATAATCATAAGCCACCGTTTAATACACATATGATACATATCGTATCATATGGAGGATAAATGTGTCATATTGATGGGATTACCATTTGAGCTTAACATTGTCAAAACAAACGGGTCTGGATTGCTTGTACTTGCATTTCTGCTTGAAGTTATCATTGATCGTCTGTGTGCCAGTTCACAAAATTTGCAGTGACTTTTTCATGATATCTGATGATGTCAGAAAAATTCAACTGAAACCCTGAGCTGTAGAATCAGCTACTCAGCTGTCACTGCAAACTCTTTGGCAGAAAACAATAAAGGTCCCTCACACAAGTCATAGACTCAGCAGGAGTGCTGAAGTTACTAAAATTAGAAGCAAAGTTTTCAGTCCCTCTAAGAAGCCTCTGTCACTCCTGTTAGAAAAGATGAGGATGGTGGTGATGATGTAGTGAGGAGGAGAGAAAAGCCTTCATGTAAATGAGCAGACAGAAGGTCAGGCTTCATTTGAAGTGTGTGGAGTATTTTAACAAGCAGCTTCTATTTATGCCTGACCTGTAGATCCTTGTTAAATTGATTCAAGTGATAGAATATGATGGAAAACTAGTTATTTCCCCTGCATGACTGATATGAAGATCAGCATGTTTTAATTTAAGATCCCAGTAAAGAGGACACCCATGATTCTGTGCCTATTTAAGAAGTGGTGTATAAAAGGTTAGTTGCATCAAAGCCCAACTTCTGTTCTCCAGCAAAGCTACTTATTCCATTAGCAGTACAGGGGCATCAAAGTACCTGTGCACAGTATTGCCAGTAGATACTTGTTTAGAAAAAAAAGGGAGGAATAATTTGCTTTGCAGTACCCATGCAAAAAACAACAAAATAAGGGCTGAATGATTAACAAACACAGTCGCCAGAGGGGAACGTTGATTTTGAACATTTCTGTAAATCCCAGAAATGTTGAATATGTACGTTTTTGAGCCAACAATATTTATTATTTCTGGAATGTTTTAGAATTAGTCACACATTGGAGTTATGGCTGATTACGATAATATATTGAAGGTAGATGCTTTGAAAATAACATTCATTATGTTCTTTACCTGTGCACCATGAGAATGTTTTAAATTAGATGCAGTCCCCCCTTATCGTTTACGCTGACTGCATGTTGCCTGTGTCGGTGCATGGTCATGGTTACATTCATTGTGGTATACTGGTAACCCAATGACTGGGTTGTTATGAACATATCTTACTGTCAAAGAGAGGGACAATGATGTCAGTCAGGGACGGTTTCTCCTGCTGTGTGAGTCGACAGACGGTTTGAGAGAGCAGGTGAAAAGCTCACAGGGAAAATGTAGCACATTGAGAAGAGAGAAGTTATCTTGCCACAAGGAACGATCAATGAACATTAAGGTGATTTTGTGTGAAATACAAAACAGGTAATCTAAAAAAGTTGCTGTGGCATTTGGACATTGACATTTAAACTACAGTTGTGTTCTCATTTAACTTCATGGGATGTTGGGCGTATTTATAACACAAACAAAATTACACTTCAGGTATTAGTGATCATTATCAGTTCCCTCCCAGAGTGCAACAAGCATGCCAGTATATTGGCGCTGAATGATGTCCAGAGTGAAGTCTTGATGGCTCCCTGGGTTGATTAGTTCTGTGTTAATTCATCTGATAGTGGTGATAGAATGCAGGAGCAGAGCTCCAAGCTCAGGTCTTTATTTACTTTCTAATTACTGAGGCATGAGCGAGCACCTCTCTGGTCCAGGCCTGGAATTGAAAGCATTGATTATACATCCTGCTGTGGTAAATTGACAAACAATTAGTAGCTGGAGGCTGGGGCCAAATATTCAGTTGAATATTGCTGATGCTTTTGGCATTTTTTCAATGATTCTGCTGTGAGAGAAAGCCATTAACCAGGTGTGCTAAAAGGTATTGCTGCAATATGTTATCACAGAACAAAGGTATTATGTGCTCCAGTGGCTCTAAATTGTTCTACATTTCAGATTAATTTGGGATGAATATTAATTAGATATATGAAAGCCATATGTCCTTTTTTGTGTGACGATAACTTAGGTTTTGTTAATTTCATTATGTCTGGTGTATGCTACCATAAATGAAGAGGTTTTCCTGCCTCTGAAGATGATATATATCCCGGGGGTTGTTGGTCAGGGCACCTTCCATCTACTTCATGATATACTTCTGAACAGTGAATCACTTTGTATAATTTTTCTGTTCACTTCAAAGTAATGACACTCTCCCCTCTGGGGCTAAATATTCATCAGAATGTTAATCATCTATGTCATTCTCACACATCCTCTCTAATTTCTTTTTTGAATGGGTGTGACATCACCGACCCACTGGCACAAAGACACAGTTTGAGAGGGAAAAGTTGTCAAGGATTAAATTCAGTACCTTTTTTCATACGTTATATATTTGTATTATTAAGTGTTCTCAGAAAGACAACGTTATGTAACAGTTACATTGAAATGTAAAACTATGACAATTATTTATGTACAGTAAGAAAAAAACATTGTAATATTTGCTCTCTTCAAGAGTGTCAACAGCAGACATATGACAGTTTATACATTTTCAATAAAAATAAATAAATGGTACTGTAGTGTTAATTTTTCAAAGTTGAAGATGGTCCCTTTTAAATTGCAAATTTCTTCTGACCAATGGGCCAAAAACACAAACTATTAGGCCAACATCTCAGATGATGAAAGCAGAAAGATGACCTCACAATTGAGAATAGAGCCAGTGGAATGAATGAAAGAACGCAATCTTCAGGATCACTAAAAGCGTAAGAGCCTTAAATGGGCCCTTTTACATAAAGAGAGGAAGAGGCAGGCTCTGTTCATCTTGAAATGCTTTTTATTGAAGTCTGAATGTTGTTGCACATTACCTACAGTTACATGTACACTCAGTTGCATCAGAACAACAATTCTGCAGTAAAACCGACCCTCAAGATGCCTTTAGTGTTCAGTCTTTCTGAAGCTGATGAAACA